CTCCCTCCTATGCCCTGGCTATGCCCACGTATAGGTGGCACATTACTGAAGCTGCTGGTTTCAAACCTTGATTCGGGGGACTTATAGGAGCTCAGTTATAAGGGTCATTTAAAAATGAACTGCACCAGTCCCCGCTGGTTTTTAAATTACATGAAACCATCATCCCAATATACCTTTAATGATAAAAGGAGGGTTTGTTTTTTCCACTAGCAACTTCTAGATTTTGTGGTAGCAATAAAATAGCTTTAGCCATTTTTTTTTATTACACTGATGCCCATTCTGCTGACCTTTGAAAATATTATAGTTTAGCGACCAAGAGTCATAAAAACAGAGACCTCTTTAATGTCCTGTGTAGTTAAGTGGAATTTTTTGATATTTAAATGTCTTGAAAGAAATTCAAGACTATTGGCTTTCACAAAACAAATAACCTTCAGAAAGATTATAGTTCTTAACTGTCTCATGTAAAAAAACCCTACAAATGCAGAGAAAAATCACCCATTTATGTACTGGCCTCTGACAGTAAGTGACCCAGGCATAGAACACGTGGGTCCTTCCCTTGAATCTCATTCCTGGGTCCTAAGTCTCCAAGAGACCTCCAGAAAGCATCAGAGAGGCACACTGGCCAAGACCACAGAAAAAATTGCCAGCGTCTCTCCCTCCTGCCTTGTGGATGCCAAAAAGGGATGCAGACTTGGGCTTAGCTGAGTACTTCACGCAGGTGGATGGGGGTGGACGGGTGGGGGAGGAGTTATTTGCGATGAACAAACTCCTTTAGCAGGCTGACAACAGCTCATCAACTGACCCGCAAGTCAAAAAAGCAGACTGGATACACAGCTGTGCTGTTTTTCACGGCAGGATAATTACATAAAATGTATTTTGAAAGTCAGTGAGGTTTTATTCACACAGTGTTTGGTAATGACCTCCTGAAAGGTAATTACAGTCTTTGTGTCAAGCCTCACAAGTGCTCTGAACATCATAAAAGCCGTGGAGATAACATGATTACAATGATAAAGGCCGTGGTTAGGGTGGCTGTCAGGTCCACTGGACCTCGCCTTGCCATGTTTGCCCTTTAACTTCGCCTATCTCTGCATAGTGAATATGCAGGGAATATTCTTTTAGGATAAAATGAGATAATGTGTAAAATCACTCTAGGCAGGTGCTACTGAAATACAGATTACTTTGTGATGAGGCCACAATTATCACAGTAAGTGTGGTGGTGAAGGGGGGCCAGTTCCTACAGGGCTGCTTCTGCGCTGTAATGCCTCATTATGATAAGGTAGACGCTATTAGTCAATTACATGACAATAATGTATTGATCAGTCATAACTCTACACCTGCTGCTATTATTCTTGTTATAATACTTAAGGCTATTTAAGGTTAAGAAAATGTTTCCTGAAGTTTGTATTGTAACTATGAGCTTTGAGACATCTGGTTGTGTATCATTCTTTGCAATAGAAATTGTGGGTGACATACCATTATAATATTATTTTACTTACACCTTGCATCCAAGACTAAAGAAACTATATAATATAATATCATTGTCATTCATTAAGTTCTAGAATTTGTATCCATACTTGAAGCATTACTCATAAGAAAGGATACCAAAAAAGCAAGTTGTAAAATCAGATCTCTGAAGGCAATTAAGTAGATTAAATTATGCCTTTCTTTGTCATGGTCTTTTAGGATGAAACAGAATTTGTTTAGGAACACGTCTTCCAGAGAGAGCATTCTGGTTGCTTTTATTCGTATGTTCTCTCAGAGAAAAACCTTATCGAGCCCAGTGGCATGTAAGAATAACTTAACATTTTCTATTTCCTGAGATATAATTGAATAGTTATTTTCTTTAGCCTTTACTGGCTTTATGTGAATGGCTCCCAATTGTTTTAGCTCTATAAATATTCCTGGAAAATCTACAAATAATAATGGTAATAATAACAAACATTTACTGAGTATTTCTATGTGCCAAGCACAGTATTAAGTGCTTTAGGAATGCATATGAATATCAACTCATTTCAAAGGTTTTTGTTTTAAATATGCTCTGTGGTGACCCATTTTATAAAGCAAATAATACCCTCTGAAAGTTTAGATTGTTATCTACTTGATATATTTAAGCCAGGGCTTGCCTGCAAATCATATATAGACATACAATTTTTTCACAACAGTAGCTCCAGATATCAGCTACAATCTATTTAGCACATAATGTGTGTTAGGCCCGTCCTAAGCGCTTTACATAAAGCATCTCATTTAACCCTCATAGTAACCTTAAGAAAACTAGTATATCCCTGTTTTACAAATAGCAAAACTGGGTTTCAGAGAAGTAAGAAACATGTCCTCTAGATGTATGAGCTGGGATTCAAGCCTGAGTCTGACTCTCCAATCCTATTCTTTCTCACCCCTGATGGTGGAAGAATATTTTATGCATCCCTTCCTAATTGGGGATAAGAACTGATGACTCCACGTGAAAACATGCAAATGGAAAGCACAGGAAGAGGTGAACAGAGGACTGCTTAGCGATGGAGAAGAACATTAGTATCGCAGCTGTCCGTGTCACAGAGAAGGCGGGCCTGGCCCTGGGGGACAGCTACAGACATCGAGGGGCCAGATAATGAAACAGAAACCATGCACCTGGCACCTGGGCACCTACGAGACAGGCCCCTCTCTACAGAGGTGCCTCAGACTGGTAGCCAGGGCAGTGGAAAGGGTGCTCATCCCAGGTAACCTGGTCCCTAAGTCCCACAGGCAGCACACTGAGCAAGGGCAGGTGGAGCAGGGTCCCTCTGGATCCGTGACGGTCCATGCCTCGTTCTTTCTTCCTGCTTCCCCGTGCTGCTGACCAAAGGGATTTTCTGTTCTCCTCACTTCAGTGTTGACACATACCCTCCCACCCTGGCACAAGGCAACTCTGCCAGTAACAACTCACAGAACTGTTTAGGGTGGGAGGGAAAAGCTGGACTGAACTGTTTAAAACCAGTTTAAAGCAGAGGCTCGTTCCTCCCTTTGGCCTCCTCTGTTTGGGGACATGTTTCATGTCTTGATCGGGAGACAGACTCAAAATGACCTGGCTGTCCTATGTGACACGTGCAAATGAGAAACACTTCTCAGGGTTGTTTTCGATGGCTTCTCTGCTGAATCATATACAAGCAGATTCAGTAAGGAAGAGCGGGATGAGGGGTCCCTAAGGCTGCCGCCACTCCCCAAGGCTTTCCCTCTCAGAGCTGCCAGAGGACAAATGACAAGCCTGCCTCGGCCACACAAGAGGGAACCCAGAGGACCCTAACAGAAGCAAGCTGGCACAAACCCGTCCTGCCACAGTGTCCATCGGCCTGTGCAACACAGAACACCCAAAATGACACACAAGAGGGGTGACCAGAAGGGACCTGACACCTTCCAACACTGTCTCTGGCGCCACCCCGGCCTGCCTCATCATAACTCTGTGCCTCCTTGTCCTTCCCTGTGTCTTTCACCGGCATTTGCCTGGAGGAGCCAGTCATTCCCATCGAGGGAAATGACAGCTAAGATTCTACACGCGGTGCCTTTCCCCCATCAAGAGCATGTGACTCGGGAACCCAGCAGTCGGAATGCAAGGCATGGCACGGTTCTCCCTCCATCCCTTCTTTGCCTACTCACCCCCATGGGAGTCCATCTGTGGCAGGAAATGTGAAGGCCCTGGGACCAGAGAGCCCTGGCCTGCTATTTGCTGAAGAAGCAAAGCCTTCCCTCCTCCCCAGGTGAAAGAAACAAAGGAGACTGAGCTAATCAAAACCTGCAAGCCTGCTGGTGGAGCTTCAGCTTGGCAGTGGTGCAACTCAGCGGAGTGAGTAACGGCGTCGAGCTTTGCGGGAAAAGAGAGCGGGAGAGAGACAGAGACAGAAACACAAAGAGAGAGAGAGAGAGAGAAAGGCATTAACCTGGCCAGGAGTCACACAGGTGCCTGGAGCCCGACCGCTGAGCAGTGTCTGATCGATAGGATCTGGCTATATGTCCTGGAGGTGATTATCTCTGGGGCGGGCAGTGCCGTTATATGTGCGGTGAGGTGTGCTAAGAGATTTAGTTCTTACTCACAGGACACACGGGGCTGGCCAAGAGCCGTTAGGTGGACTTGTGAGTTGGAAGTCTTCGTGGGCACGTCCTGGCTCTCTACGAGGGATTCCCCAGGAGGGAGAGGCCCCAGGCACTCCCACCGCGAGCCACGGGTCTCTGCGGTGGCTGTGGCAGAGTGGACGTGCGAGCACTGGGGCCGCCACACGGAGAGCAATAGCAGTGCGCTCCGTGGTTCACAGAAAGCCTGCCCTGGGGGGAGCTGGCCACTCAGAAGCCACGCGTGGCCTTTTAAGACTCTTGCAGGCCTCCCTGCACCTCAAGTAACTACCGTGTTTCCCCGAAAAGAAGACATCCTCCGAAAATAAGACCTAGCGCATGGAAAGATAAGGCATCCCCTGAAAATAAGACCTAGCGCAACTTTGGCTTTGGGAGAAAAAATTAATATAAGACACTGTCTTATTTTCGGGGAAACAGGGTAGTTTGTGAAAAGGAGCTTAAGTGTGTAGCTGCTCTCTCTCCTGAAGCTGGTAAGCTTGGACTCCTGGAACTTAACAGCCTTTAGTACTGGGGGGCTGTGCCATACCTCTGTCCTCTGGCTCACAGGCAGGTGTTAGGAAAAGAAAGGAATAAGCAGAGGAAGGTCTGGCAGGAGACCCTCAGGAGAAGGCCCTGGTGATAGGGGGTTGGGCCCCATCGGGGAGTACAGTGCAGCAGGGTGAAAACTGGTGGCATGCAATCACCTTAGAAAATGTGCCATCTCTGGAGGGTTTCTGACTTAAATTGGGAGACTATGTGCTAACCCCCTAAATCAGAAGACCCGGTCTGCCCGTTGTCAAACCCTGGCCCACATGAGTCTCAGAGAGTTACTGTGAGCACAGGCAAGACAGACGTGGCCCATCCTGCAAGCCCATGCCCACCCCTGCACGGGAGTGAGTTCTGAGTTGAAGTGTGGTCTTTACCTGAAATACGCCTGGGCACGTCGGTGATGGCAGGGAGCCCGGTGCCCCGTGTGGAAGACAGCGGAGTGGTGGAGTGAATGGACGGGGAAGTCATCTGGCTCAGGTAGGAGGGATAAGACTGGTCATAGGACCACGGTGGGGAAGACTGCGCCTGCCTGGGGTCTGGGGAAAAAAGAAAAAAATCTTTAGTATACCAGCTGCTGTGACCTAAGAACACACAACCCAGACAGGATAAAACAGGGGGAAACACACACACACACACACACACACACACAGTCTACTTATTCCCAACAACCCCCTCCCCTCAGGCGTTGTATAGCACAAAGCTAGACAGGCTTTGGGTGTCAATAAATGTAACAAAATGAATCACAGGGGAGCACTATTTGTCTCTCACATAAAAACGTCTACTTAGAACGTCTAACCGTCATTAGAAAACTATCTGCTTTAGTTATTTTTACAAAGCTGAATTCCATTTTATTTGCTTTCTGTGCTTCTTCATTTACTCCAGCGAACATGTATTCCTTACTTCTTTGAACGGTTAAAAATACTTTGAACAATTAACTTAGTTAAGGAACAAGCAGACTGCTGCTTTCCACTGCGACCTACCCAGCTACTGTCTCAGACCTGCTTTCCGGCTTTCAGAGTGTGTGATGCCACCATGTTAGCAGGTAGGAGGGATGTCACCTACTAGCATGGACGTGGGAGCAGAGATGAGAACAGGGTAGGCAGCATGTGAGGAGAGTAAAATGGAGGGGAGCTGGGTATAGTGTTCTCCTGGAAAAATGACTCCAGAAAATAACCTTTACAAAAAGGCAAAACTTAATTTCAAAGCCAGCTACTCTGAAGAACTGAAAAGCCTCATCACCATCCAGAAAATAAGAAAAATGATCCAAAACAGGAGAACCGGGACATGTCTTTAAACCTATTGGAATGTTTCAATAAAGGTGTCACGTGTTGGGAATGTGACCTAGTGTTACATACAATCACTATAATATTAAAAATCATAGGCAGCCAACTTGTTAGGGCTCACTTCTGACCATCAACGATTTTAAGGGGTATCTCTATTGTGTTTCTTAGAGTAACAAACTCAAATCAAGGCCCAAGTGGATTTAGCAAGAGCTTTAGTCTTCATAAGAGAAAAATGTAAATTTGCTCTATGTTTCCAGGGCAGAAAAGTGTATATCTCAAACTGTTTTGTTCTGACTTGAGGGCTAATCAAACAGAATCAAAAGCACATTTCTCTTAACATTTTTTTTCTAATTTCAAACATTTTTGTTCATTTTAAAAATGTTAATTTTTAAAATTCTAATATTCCAGCCCATTCACAAGACAGCTATGGATTTTGGAATGTTCAGAATTAGGTTCAGGCTCTGAGGCTTCTACTTTCTAACTGTAACCTTGGGTTAATTACTCAGTGACTCTGAGTCTCAGTTTTCTCATCTGTAAAAGGGGTAGAGGAATAATAATATCTACATCACAGAGATGTGATATTACAGGAGAAAATTATGAATAGAGGACTAGCATAGAAGGCACTCAGTAAGTATTAATTTTTCTCTTTAAAAAAAAAACCTCTTCATATCACTAGGGTAGTCCCATGGTTGAAACACATATGCATTGGAGTTAATAAATTTGCAATAGGTTTAAAATTATTCCCACATCACCTGTCAGCCTTTGAATATGAAAAGCTTATTTTTCAAAAGTCATTAAAATATTTGGATAGTCAATTAAAGTTTACTTCTAAAAATAAAAATGAGAATAACAAGACAGATTTTTCTGAGATGATTCCTCTTTTTAAATACTCTCGATTTTTCTCTACAAAGTCATTTAGTTTCAGCTATTTCTTGTTTATTTGTTCAATTCAGAAACAATTTATTTAAAGACTGTCTAAATAGGACATACTTTTCTTGAGTCAAAATAATTAAATACATCTGGATATTTATCTGATATTTACTCTATCAACAAATATATAGAAAAATTTCACCCTTTTCCATTTTAAGAAACATTTACCTGAGTTTGCAATTTGGATAAAAGTATATTACTGTAAATGGTGACCATAAACTTTTCCTTCAGAAATCTAAAGGATTTGCTCTTTAAAATGTTCAAGGCTGAGATTGTATAGATTGGCAGCATTTCAAATCTGAGTGAGTGGTCCTTGTTATGTATCTGATACTGACTTCCTTGCTTTAACGTTAATGTAATTCACTATTCAGAGACATGGGAAATGATCTTCAGATGGGAAAAGACACATTCCTTACAGCACCAGAAGCAACCTAATAAAGGCAAGGCCTTCGTTAAGGAAACATTTTCAGTGGACACCAGGGTCAAGAACCACAGCGCCGAGGTGGGCACGTACAGAACTCACATTTGGGTTTGAATTCTACTCTAATGTCACCAGGTGACTTCCTGAGCAAAGCAGTGTGGCCTGAATGTCCATTCCCCTCCTGTGACATGCAGTCCCCAGTAGTATTGGGGCACCATGCCCCCAAATGGGGGAAAAATACAAAGAAATGTAAAGAGTGACTAAAATTATTAAAGTTTATATCACAGAGGAATTGGGGAACTTAACTTGGATGAAAGATACAGCCTTTTTCTAAAAAAACAAAACAAAAAAACAAACAAACAAAAAAAAAAACTCTTGGTGACACAGGATAGTTGCATGGTTAAAACACATCTGCATCGGAGTTAATACATTTGCTGTAGGTTTCAAGTTAGTCCCACATCACCCAGTTCTCCTCGTGCAGAAAGGTAACCCAGTGCCAGGAAAACAGTGAGGAAAGGATCTGAGTTGGAGTCCAGCTCTGCTCTTTATATAAGCTGTATGTCCTAGGCTGTGTTAGCACGCTCTCTGTACCTCAGTTTCCCCGAGTGGAAAATGAGGCAGCATATCATAGCAAAGCGAATACAGCAAGGGGGTTTATGTGTACTTGGCTGGGTAGAGCTCCCCAATGCACTAACCAAAGCACTTAAACATTGGATGCCTCAATGCTCATCTGGAAAATGAGAATAATGGTACTTATTAGGGTTGTTGTGAGCAGTACATGAAGTAGGCCTCACATGATAAGCCACCTGACACTCCTGGCAATATGAAGTATATAATATCTAGCAGTGATTATTCCTACCTGTAAAATGGATATAATAACAACTACTACAATTCTGTTTATAAAATTAGGTGAGATAATATAAGTTAAAGCATTTGTATAACTGGAAAGTCTATATTGAAATGTATTCTCTTTAGGAGGGCACCTCATCAAGGCCCTGCTGTGTGTGTGTTTCTTAATGTTGCTGAGCTTTAATTTCCTCATCTGTGAAACAGGTTTGATAATATCTCAGAGAGTTGTGTAAGCATTAAGTAATATAAAGTGTGTGCAAATCATCATTATTCAAAAAAGTTAAAAATATCACTCTAAACTATTCACTGTGGCTGGGTTGCCTACTGTTTTTTGTGAAGATTTCCAAGGTCACATTCAGCATAATTCAGTATAATGCCTGGCACACAGTAGGTACTCAATGAACAACCAGTGAATGAAGTTTCCACGGTGGCTTGAGTGAATAATGGAATTTTACAAGAAGTAGTAATTAGTCATTTTCTAACTTCCCCTATAAAGACAGTTGTGTCGGTGAGGTTTTAGCTTCTACATAAACTTCCTGACTGTCAGAACAGTCTATTAAAGGATAGTTTTACTTAGTAGGGGTCCTTCCTGCAGATGTCCAAGATTAGCAAAAATAACTTCTCACCATCCCTAAACAACTGAGATCTCTCTGCGTTTTTGGGGTGCTTTGTCTCTCAGAGGACAAGATGTAGTCCAGCCAATCTCTTTCAAGGACACCATCACCATCCTAAGATTCTATAATAATGACCTACTTAAGAAGAGAGTTACTAAAGTCAAGTAGAACACAAGAACTGCCACGTGGAGATGACTAGGTTTTAGTATAAGTAATTTTAAAGGGGACGGAAATCTTTAAAAAAAAAAATTTTCAATTACAGTTGACATGAAATATTATATTAATTTCAGATGTACAATATAGTGATTAGACATTATATAACTTACAAAGTGATCCCTCCAATAAGGCTAGCATCCGACTGACACCACATACAGTTGTTACAATATCACTGAGGATATTCCTTGTGTGGGACAGCGATCTTAACAAACAAGTAATGGTCTCTAGACACCCAAGGGCCAGTGGTCGGCAAACTCATGAGTCCGCAGAGCCAAATACCAACAGCACAACCGCTGAAATTTCTCTGGAGAGCCACATTTTTTACACTTAACTTTCTTCTAACACCATTTCTTCAAAATAGACTCGCCCAGACTGTGGTATTTTGTGGAAGAGCCACACTCAAGGGGCCAAAGGGCTGCGTGTGCCTTTCGAGCTGCAGTTTGCCAGCCACAGCTCTAGGCCTTCCCTAATATCCTGTAAAGGAACCATCAGTCATCAATTCCAGCTCTACCATTTCATTTTCTGGTCTGGGTGAGAGATATTGGACAAATTATATAACCTACCTTAGCTTCAAGCTTCCTAATCTGTATAATGGAGATAAACTCCCCACTAAAGTTGCTATGAAGAGTAAATGAGATAATGTAATAACAAACTTAGCACATGGAAGGAACCCAATAAATGTCCACCACTGTTAAAACTTACACTGAACTTTCATTCTGTGTTTAGGTTTCCAGCCCATGAACTCTAACTCTAGCAGAGGACAATTTTTAGAAAGCTTCCTATAGTTTTGAAATTCACTATTTGGAGAATATATGTGTATTAGTCATGTCAGTAGCCATTGCAAACTTTTAACCTTAATCATGTTCTTTCTTAGTCTTGGTTTACCCAAGACCAAGAAATCTTAATCTCCTTTAGTGTATTTTCTAAGACTGTACACTTTAACTTTTTCCAAAATGTTAGTGGGGAAAATATGACTATAAAATATCTTGACTTCCAAATGCCCAATCACCAAGAAAATATCACTCCATTATAAATATACAATTACAGCATGTTTGCTTTGTTGTAGACAGTGATTCATGCTTACAGAAGATAAAATTCACCTCAACCTGATCTCATAAAGGATTTCTGATCTCAACTTCCTGAAGAAACCTGAGACTTCTGAGATTCACTCTTAACTTGGATGAGTCAGAGCAGGTGACAGATGTTTTTTAGGCAGCACCAGT